CTCAACATTCAGAAAACTAAGATCATGGCATCTGGTCCCATCACTTCATGGCAAATAGATGGGGGAACAGTGGAAACAGTGGCAGACTTTTATTTTGGGGGCTCCCAAATCACTGCAGATGGTGACTGCAGCCAGGAAATAAAAAGACACTTACTCCTTGGAAGAAAAGTTATGACCAACCTAGACAGCATATTAAAAAGCAGAGATATTACTTTGCCAATAAAGGTCCGTCTAGTCAAAGCTATGGTTTTTCCAATAGTCACGTATGGATGTGAGAGATGGACTCTAAAGAAAGCTGAGCACAGAAGAATTGATGCTTTTGAACTGTGGTGTTGGAGAAGACTCTTGAGAGTCCCTTGGACAGCAAGAAGATCCAACCAGTCCATCCTAAAATAGATCAGTCCTGGGTGTTCATTGTGAGGACTGATGCTGAAGCTGAAACTCCAATACTTTGGCCACCTGATTCTAAGAACTGACTCACTGGAAAAGACCCTGATGCTGGGAGGGATTGGGGGCAGGAGGAGAAGTGGACAACAGAGGATGAGATGGTTAGATGGCATCATCAACTCAATGGACCTGAGTTTGGGTAAACTCTGGGAGTTGGTGATGGACAGGGAGGCCTGGAGTGCTGCAGTCCATGGGGTTGCAAAGAGTTGGACACGACTGAGCGACTGAACTGAACTGGACTATGAAAACAAATGTAAAAAAAAAACAAAGTTAAAGTCAACTTATATATTTTCTTATGGTCAGATAGAAGGAAAATATTTACAAAAGGAAAAATATTATAAATTTTATGATATGTTGAATAATAGCCTCCCAAGGTGTCCATGGGAATGGCTACCCACTCCAGAATTCTTGCCTGGAGAATCCCACGGACAGAGGAGCCTGGTGGGCTACAGTCCAAGGGGTTGGAAGGAGCAGAACAGGACCAAGCAACTAAGCACAGAGCACAAGGTGTCCATGGCCAACCCCGGAACCTGTGACTGTTACCTTATATGGCAAAAGGGACTCTGCAGATGTGACTAGGTTAAGGACTTTGAGATGAGAAAGCTATCTGGATATGCAGGTGAGTCCCATGTAATCACAGTAGTCCTTTTAAAAAGGAAGAAGGAGGCCAGAGCCAAAACGTGATGACTGAAGCAGAGGGTGAAGGGATACACTTTGAAAATGAAAGGTATCACAAGCCAAGGAATACAGGTAGCCACTCGAAGCTGAAAAGGGCAAGGAAACAGCCTCCAAAAGGAACTAACCCTGATCAAACCTTAAGTTTTCAGTTCAGTGAACCTGATTTTGGACTTCTGACCTCCAGACCTGTCAGAGAATAAATCTGTGTTCTTTTAAGCCACTATGTTTGTGGTAATTTGTGACAGCAGCATTAGGAAGCTAATATAAGCCTTCTCTTCTCAATCAAATTGATGCTAAAAGTGTCTTTTTCAAAGTTAGAAGTTATAAACATATGCAGACCTTGGGTTGAGAATTATTGGACTGATTTTTAAAGAAATTGAGGGAAATATTTTTAAAAGCAGAGTCAGGGGCTTCCCAGGTACCTCAGTGGTGAAGAACCTGCCTGCCAATGCAGGAGATCCAGGTTTTGTCCCTGCTCCAGAAAGATCCTATATGCCGAGAAGCAACTAAGGCCAAGCACCACAACTGAGCCTGTGTTCTAAAGCCTGGGCACCACAATAATGAGCCCACGTACCCCGACTACTGAAGTCCGCGTGCTCTAGAGCCCACGCTCCACAATAGGAGAAGAAATTGTAATGAGAAGCCCTCACACCACAACTGGAGAGTAGCCCCCTCTTGCCACAACCAGAGAAAGCCCGTGCACCAACAAAGACCCGGCACAGCCATAAATAAATAAACAGAAATCAGTCATCCCTTCCATTTTATCCATGATTATGAAGAAGAAATTTGAGGAGTATACTATTGTTCTTCCACCAGATCAACAGATTCAATGGTTCTGAAATCACTCATGAGTTGGCCTTTATCATTTTGAATTAGAACTTTAAAAACCATGGCTACCAATACAGCATTTTAGTGCTTTCTGGGAATGACAGGAACACAGGGACACTGAGTATTTTCAATGCCAACATAATTTTCTTTTGTTTTTAGTGCTGTGTCCTACTATTTTCATATCAGAAAGAGTACATTGACTATTCCAGGTCATCACTTAATCTTGATAACCTTTATAAAGATTATTCTAAATCTTTTCAAATTTTCTATAATATCCAGCACCCTCGGAAGAGTCCCAAGACTTTAATTGCAGAAGCCCTGGAACTTTCTCCCATTTTTTTAGACATTAAGAATTTATTGAAGATTTTTTACACTTGAACATATTGTTTAAAATATAATCTTTCTTCCCATGTGACAGCCTCACACAAACAAAGTATTTAAAGAAGATGAAGGTCTGTCATTGCTCTGTTTAATTAACAAGAGACTTTTAGAATTAGAGAATGTTAAAAAAAGAATGCAGAAGAAAACTTAGTGTGATAATGATAATCGTTTCATTTCACATCAGAATTTCAACTTGTAAAAATTCTATTTACAGGTGTCATCTGCTCGAACTAGTCAATCTTCTTTCATAATGTGAGCTTTTCTTTCCCTAGTTACTTATACAAATCAGATGGTGGAGTACAAAATCATGCGGAGAGGTTTAGATTTGCTTCTAATTTAGCACATGATGTAACAACTTCCTTTTTCTATCATCTATTACTTTGAAAGCTCCCAGATCCTTTGTTTTGCATCTAAATTATTTAAAATCGCCTTTCCTTTTAGTACATAAAGGCAACGCATATCTTTTTAATAGTCTACATTCTTGAAAATTAACTCAAGGTTTCTAACCAAACTACTTCAATGCACATTTCAGTAAGTGTTCAATTTATTTTGGATTACCCAGTGACATTTATGATCTTGAAAATACAATTCACCTAAGATACAAATAACTTTACAGTAATTAGGAGACAATGTTAAGTGTCTATACATGCTGTGCTAAGTCACTTCAGTCGTGTCTGACGCTTTGCAACCCTATGGACCATAGCCTGCCAGGCTCCTCTGTCCACGGGGTTCTCCAGCTAAGAATACTGGAGTGGATTGTCATGCCTTTCTCTAGGAATCAAACCCTCATCTCTTATATTTCCTGCATCAGGCAAGCTGGTTCTTTACAAGTTTTCTTTTACTATAAGACAGTGATGACTTTGTGAAAGGTTAGCAATTTTAACACAGTACATATACTCAGCTGTATTCACATTACTCAATAAAACGTTTTCCAATGAATACTTGTTGTGGGATGCACAAGCATAGTTATCATCAATTAAGATTTTTTTTTCCCCAATTTTGACTAAGGAAAGAAGAGTTTAACTTTCTGCAGGGTATGAAGTAGCTCAATCATTAAAACTGTAGCATAGTATCTCCTAACAATTTCTGTTTATCTTTACATATGCCTTTGAGACACTTGTTAAAGACTATAAAGTCTAAGTGAAACACATGAATATATTTTCCAATATTTTACACAACTTTTGAGAGGTTTCAGCAGATATAAAGTTTATTATCAGTTGCCTCTTTGACAAAGTATAGTTAAAAGAAATTTACTGAGAAATTACTCTATCATGGCTAATTATCAGATTTTGTACTATATAGTTCAATGCCTTTTTTATAACGAAATGGCAGTTTACAGAGCTAATATTACCACATTCTACAAATGAAGCCAGTCATTGAAATATGATATACATAAATACTAAAACATCAAATAAGATGTATGTTTATAAAAACGTCAGAGCTGGAAGGAAATTTAGGTATTTCCAGTTCATCCATTTTCACTCTATGGTTGAGAAGCTAATTTGTTCAATTTCACCAAGCTACTTGTGGCTAGATCTAGGTCCAGAACTTCCATCATCTGATTCTTAAGCCAAAACAATTTGTAGCACATTTGGGCTTCCTCGATGGCTCAGTGGTAAAGGATCCACCTGCAAAGAATGAGGATGGGAAATGTGGGTTCGATCCCTGGATCAGGAAGATCTCCTGGATGAGGAAATGGTAAACCTCTCCAGTATTCTTCCCTTGAAAAATCCAATGGACAGAGAAACCTGGCAGGCTAGAGTCGGACACGACTGAGCAACTGAGCATGCACATAGTCTGAGTCAACCTCCATCTCTCTCTCTCCCTTGCCTGCTTCATGCGCACACACACACACACACTCTACCTTAATATAGTTCTTGCAAAGCAATCTGAACAAGCACATTTTAATATAAATTTGCATATTATACTCTGTACTTTCTTATCAGCATTTTCTTTTGGCAGAAGAGCCCCAAAATAAAATGCATTAAAAAAAAAACCCAGCACAGGGCTTGCTACACTATGAGAAAGAAGTTTTTCTATCTTTTGTCAAATTGACTGAATTAGATCCTGGTAAGAGTAGAAACATCCCCAAATTGAAGTGTTCTCTGAAATAAGCCATAGAAATTCACTTGGTAAAATATTAATTTAACTGAGTCTAGAGTATGTGGCCGCATTCACTTCATCATCTGCAAACAGACAACACGCTCCAATCTCACCTGCTTGTTTCTTTACGTAAACATCCAAAAGATGAATCAGAGTTATTGGATGACTCTAGAATAGGTATTTCCTTTCATATTAAAATAATGTATGTATTTCTCTCCTGTGCAATACTAACATTTTTCTAGTAGCAATAGAGAAGTGATAAACTTCTTAAAGTAAGGTGATGCTGAACAAAATCTAGTAAAAGTTAACCATAAGGCTTTGTGATAGAGGAAGTTATAATATTTACAATATTTTTAAATGTTACTTATTTATATTTTACCCTTTTAAAATTGAAAAATAATATATGTAAGCAGTTCAATTAAAAAAAAACACTTTAGACACCTTCTTGGCCACAATACAGGATGTTTTAATTTTTAAAATAATCTAATAAAATGCCTCTGAGCAGTAAACAATGGTCAATGATATCTAGATAATAAAGTTAAGTTCACAGAGACACTCAGATCTTGTATCCAGTAAGGACTTATTAGAAAAACAAATATTGAATAATTTATGATTTAAAGTGGTTAGAATAAAGTTCAGGAAAAATATAAGCAAATCATTTCCTTTCTAACAATTTAAAATGTAGAACGTTTAAACCTTATATATTTTTGCCAAAATAGTAATTATCCATAGATGACAGATGCTGCTCCCCACTTAATGGAGGGTCTCAATTTTACTCTGCATCTCATTGGGAAGGAAATATAAAAATTTAAAATAGAATTAACTTGGGGAAAGACATCAGTGCTGTAACTCTTAGCACCAAATGTTTCTTCTTGGAGCACCAAATGCTTTAAGGAAAACATTCCAAGTATCAAAGTTTTCAGATAGATAAATATTTATGGATCAAATCCATAAAGAACAGACATTGTTATGAAATATATATAGATGCCTTCAAAACTTTCTTTCCAGGCAGAGTAGACACATAAGTTAGGAGTCATTTCCCACTTAATTGTTTTTGCAACCTTATGCAACACAAATGGATTGTGGATAAAGACTTAAACTGGTTTATTCACAGAAAGTAGATCTTGACTGACATTATGTCCAGAAAATTAAATAGGAACTGTTTCTCAATAGAAAACACTATTAAACTTAAAGAAATGGCTTTATTTCAACCTCTTATTTTCTTAACTGAAAGGCACGGAGGTTTTCAATTTTGTCCTTTTGTGAGAAAACATCACTTTTTAAGCAAATTATTCTCAATTTGCTAGTTAGCAAAATCAGAGAAAATCATTAACCTAGATCTAGTTTGTATCTTCAAGTGTAACAAAATTCCATGTCTTTGAACTTCATGAATGATACGTTTGTGGTCTGTATATAGACCACTGCCTCTCCCTCTTCACTGAGAGCTCTTCATAGTGATATTAGAACCGGAAATCCATTTTCCTTACAATCTACAGAAACCTATTTTGCCACTTAAGGGCAAAGGTCTACTTACATTGCTCATATAAAAAATAAAAGTGTCATAGAAATGCCATATGATACTAGACGAATTCAAAGGAACTACCAAAGAAGCAGACTTAGCTTCTGCATGTACCCTTGATGCTCTTCAATACCATTTGGGGGTGTGCGCTGATCAGAAGGGATTCCCTGCTAGCTCAGTGGTAAAGGATCCACCTGCCAGTGCAGGAGGCATGGGTTCGATCCCTGGGTCCGGAAGATCCCCTGGAGAAGAAAATGACAACCCACTCCAGCATTCTGGCCTGGGAGATCCCATAGACAGGGGCGCCCAATGGACTACAGTCCATGGGGTTGCAAGAGCTGGACATGACTTAGTGACTAAACAACAACTGATCAGAAATGAAAGGCCAAATTAAGAAAACAGCATCTGCCCCAGATGCAAATGTAGAACAATGGTCTACAAGAACTCAATGGGGATGTTATGTGGTTTCCAAGTTTCACTTGCACACATGGATAATTACTACCAACACTATCATTTGTGAACATAACAGACATTTTGGAACTGGATACAATTCTGTCCCTGCAACTAGCCAAGACAATTCAATATTCAACCAAACAAGGCTTGAGTGTATGTGGGCTTAAAGAAAATGGGAGCCAAAGCACAGGTACAATTTTATTTATGAATATGGAGACACATGACTTTGGATCCAGCCAGCCAGTGACATAAATAAACTTGAGCAAAAGATTCAAGCTAGAGGATATATATGTATATCTATATATAAAAATTCGTGTGTCTGAGTAAGGCTTCTTGGAACAGTGCCACAAATCTGAACACCAACCATCAGAATCACTCCCGTCCTTTGAAATTTCCATTAAGAGCACAATGGGGTAATTATACTGGGATGCTCCAAATCGCTGTTTCCATCTTGTGCACTCACATGCCCGCCAAACATGAAATGTTCGCCTTCTCCCTTCCAACATGATGGTTGTTGAACTTATTTTTAGTGTCATTTGATAAGCCTTTGTGCTCGCAGAGAGACATCCCACTGACCCAGCCACTGGTCATTGTCTATACCAGTTCACATCAAAGCAGGCGCGCTTTGTCAGGTTTCCAGTCGAATATCCATTTCGCATCTGAAGTACAGTATCGAAAGTGACTAGATCATTTGAGCTTTTTCTTCAGCTGCTGCCTCCTTCCTCCCCCACAGTCTTTCCGCTCACGCTAACATAATTTGGCATCGTCGACGTGACATGATGGTGGTTTTTCTTAAAAAAATATATAATACAGACATTTTCGATGTTTCGGGGTGGTCGACCCTCCTGATATTTTCATTTATAATTTGACGAGAGGAGGTCTTTTTGTTTTTTCTCTACTGAATCACAACCAAGGGTGAGTGCCCCTCAAAAATCCAAGAAATACGCATACAGTAATAGGTCATTCAATGTCAAAAGGCATAAAAAAGATGAGCAAAATCTTCACAGGCGGCTGCTTGCTGTTGCCTTTAATTATATTAATTAAACTTTGAAATTTTCATGCAAAGAGAGTTGCTGGCTTGTGACGCTGAAGAGCCCTTGGAGACTTGGAGGAAGAAAAAACCCTGAGCGGAAGCTTTGTGGTTACTGCTTCCTTTAAATTAAAAGCAAAACAAACTCCTAGATATGCTTACAGATATTAATGCTTTATGCACTACTAAGCCCTAAACATAGCAAGAGGGGTAAATCGACCCATCACAGGGACAAGTTCTCAAATCACGAGTCCATTAAACTCCACTCAAGAGCTCTGGTTAGAGGCTGTCTTCCTGTGGAATAATGCACTATTAATTTTCTTCTTTTCCCAAGTGCATAATGAAAGGAAGGTGTCTTCAAAAACTAAAGGGCAAAATCTTGCTTGCTACCAATACCTTGAGGCATCCTGTCTACATTTTGTCATGCGTGTGCACTTTTCAGTGTTAGAATGACAAGATTTTCCAGTCAGAAGCTTCCCGGAAGGCACATTGTGGTAGGGGAACTTGGAAGGCTTTCGTGATCTGACATAGCTATAAGGCAATAGACTCCATTATCTGCTGAGCCTGGTGGGAGATTTCGCACTCTGCCTTTGGCTAACAATCTTGCCATGTAAACACACAAGTGCCATGTTTCCATATAAAACACTCCTTTCTCCATTCAGGATCCACCTCGACCAATTGTTTTTTTTCTCCCTATTTTGACATCATCTTCACACTTTTGTTTTCACTTTTTCCTCTTTTACACATTCAAGCAGACCTTCTTGTTTAAACCACAGCATGTCCATTAATGTTCCTCTTTATTTTCAACGTCCTGAATCATGAGTTACCATTGAGTTTCATCAACTCCCATGTAGACGGCAGAACAAGTGTTTGAAAATGTTTGGTGAAGCAAAGCAGAAGGCAGAGAAAACATTTCCTGACTGAGAGGAATAAAGTTGCTCTTCCAAAAACTTCTGAAATGCACTTTTTTTTCATCGGCGTTGTGAACGTGTACCACCTTCGTACCTCTTGGCCTTCTTGTTTTCCTTTTACTGAGATGGAACTCGAGAGAAGTTTATGCACCGGCCCTAGGAAAGAAACAAATACTTATTGAAATACTGAAATAATTATTTAAAAAGCCCGAGAACACCTAGTTTTTCTACTATGATAAAACAATTACCCAAGGTACGGTTGACATTAAGATGAAACATGGTCATAAGTTTTTTTCCTCTGTGTCAAAGCATGATGGCTTTTCAGATCTTTACCATAGCAAGTACACCTACACAATGGCATGATAGAATTAGAGTGGAAAAAAAAATAAACTATGGGAAATACAACTTTGGCATTGTTATTTAAAGAACAGTATCGCTATCCTAGCAATAAAAATATCAAAGCCACAAACCTACATTTTCTATAATGAAATAAAAGTATCCCTTTATGCAAGCTGGTGCCTTTAAAGCTGATATAAATTGGTGCTTCAAAAATGTACACATGAGGAGTGTATTTAAGAGATTGGGGATAAGAAGTCAGGGAGAAAGGGAGAGATGCCATTTCTTTGTGATTCCATTTTATAATAGACTTTCACAAGAGACTTATTAGCATTCTTGTCCACTACTCTCGGCCATTTCTCACAACTGCACACCACTGTTACATGGTCTCTACACGGAGTGACTCTATTTGCACTCCACATTTCCAAAGACAGTCTGCCATTCCAGTTCCTTAGCACTTCAATAGAGCTTATAGAGAAACATTGTTATATATGTAACTATAAATAATCCAAGAATTAGTTGAAAATAAATTTCCAGTTAGTAATAGAAGATCCCCTTCTCCCCCTCCTTGGTTTGACGGTGCTGATGTCTTGTACAGTCTAAATCATATCCAGATTCCTTAGTCCAAAGCTACCACACTGCTCTCAACTTTAGGGTTCAGATCATCATCTTATTGAGATTTTCCTATTTCTCTTAATATCTGCTCTCTAACTTCATATTTTAGACTGTCTTTTCATTTCCCTCTAAATATGAATAATACATTTATTTCAAGTGTACATCCTATGTACATGGTACATTAAAAAGGAAACAAGATTTTGGTCTGTTTTCCTCTCAAAAATCACTGTACAACAAGTTGGAAATTTCAGAAATCAATAAGAAATATTAAAACAAGGTAGTTTACATTTGTTCTTGCCTAAGAGGCAAATATTCATCAAATTACCTGCCTTCTAAATAATTTTGGAGGTAATGTTATTACTACGATTGTTGATTTTATTCCTTACTTTGTGCCTAATGTCTACAGATAATATCAATGCAAAAGGAAGTCTGAGAAAATCATGGAGAAGACTACTTTAGAATGAGATCAAAATTCCTTGATAATGAAACGGTCACAGGTCATGTACTTAGACTGTATTTTTGTATTATCTAGAACCTTCAAACAAGATTTTCATTACAAATATTAAGGGAAAAGATGCTTTTCTCCAGATTAGCTACATTTGGCATCAAGTGCCAAGAAAAATATTTTTAAATATTATTTTCATGATATATGCCTTTTGAAAAAAAATTTTCCAGGGGGGTAGGAAGGAAAATGACATAAAAAATAAATATTTGAGCAAAGCAGTAAATCAGTCCTTCTGAGCCATGACAGTATAAATAGTATAAATACATACAATGAGAAATAGATTTTAACTGTGCATATTAAAACAATGATGTATATTAAAAATATTATTTTCTTGCAGTTTTCCAGAACCAAACAAAAGGAAATATATAAGGAATAGCATTCAGAGAGCAAAGATACAAATTAATGACATCTTTTCTTATGTATTTATTATGGACCAAAAATGTAAAAGTTTTCTCTCTTCTATGTCATTTTGAAAAAGAAGTTATCATGAATTTCTACTTTTATTTGGATTTCATCACTAGTTAACTAGATTTATGTGTAAGGTTCTTTCTCTGACCATTTCTATTCTATACACCAGATTAATCTTAGTGACCCTGATTCATTTATTTTAAGAACTGGAGAGTTTAAACAGAGAAATTCATAGTCCACTTGAATTTTCAAAATAATGTCAACATCTAAACTATTCCGGACCAAATTGTTTTCTATTTCATTTGGTGTGGTTTAATTAAAGAGTAGAAACTAAAATGAAGAAAGCCCTATTGATTTTCACCCTGAGGTCCTTACTCCAACTCTTCCCAACCTTGGGATTAAGTACTGATCATCAGTCTATTGATTTAAGCACCTCAAAACCCTGGTGAATAGCATATATACCCTGGATTTTAGCATACACATTGATAAAAACAACCAAATACCTCCTCTTCTAATCATGGACTCAGTGTTTTTCACTTTTATCAAGATCTGATCATGTTTTAATTAATAGGAATTCAGAAGTTGGTAACTTAGAGTTTTGTTCAGAAGTTACTTTCTTTGTTTAAGCCTTCAGAGGTTAAAGTGTCTGCCTGCAATGCAGGAAGCCCAGGTTCGATCCCTGAGTCAGGAAGATCCCCTGGAGAAGGAAATGGCAACCCACTCCAATATTCTTGCCTGGAGAATCCCATGGAGGGGGGAGCCTGGTAGGCTACAGTCCATGGGGTCACAAAGAGTCGGACATGACTGAGCGACTTCACTTTCACTTTCAATGGTCAAACCACATTGCATCATAATTGCTTGCTCCAATCTGAGTACTCCAAAGCTTGAATATGTATCCCAGTTCTGCTATTTATTAACTGTGGGATGATGAGCAACTTATGGTTTCTTCATCAATAAAATAGAGATTAAAAATTGAATGTTTATAAAGACTATTAAGTCTGTTAATATATATCTATAAAGCACTTAGAATAGTACCTGGCATATAGTAAACTCTCAATTAAAAAACAGTCACTATCTATCTCCTGTCTATGATGTCATTGCACAATGTTTAACATAGAACAGACATGTAATAAATACTTGCTTAGAAACAACTGGACAGATGGATGGTGTATTAAAAAAAGAATACCTCTACTTAGGGAGGAGAAGACCTTGAAAATGGGAAAACAGAAAAAGTACGAATTTGAGAGAGATTAAAAAAATGGGTTACAAAGGAGAAAAATACAACAGTGAAAAGGAGAGAAGATAATATGGAAAAACATAGAATAGAGTAGTTCTAAAAAGATAAGACAGATAAAGAATAATCAAGAAAAAAAGAAACTGTTGGCCAAAGGAAATTTTTATTTAGTATTCCATCAGTTATCTTACTCCCAGGGGATTATTTCATGCTAGCTACTTCCATTCACTTATCAGAATATTCTAAAATCAAGGCAACATACCCTGGTTGCAAGCGACTATAATTAAGCGTCTGTGGGCCTTCAAATACTACTCAATACTAAGCTTACAAAACCTGTCAATATCATGCTAATTACGTTTAAGGTCAAGAATGTTTGGGCTGCCATTGATATCACATGGCAAGGCAAGCAGTCTAGGCCAGAACACTGCAGAGCAATTTTTGTTCACAGGAAATGGGCTATGACAGGGCTTATAGGTTTGCTATATCCTCATGCTTACAGTGCCTATACAATAAAGGTTTGTTACCAAGGTAACAAGGAAAGCAATATGAAATAGCTTGAGCAAATGACTCATCACTGAATGGTTCAGAATGGAAAACATTAGTAGTAAACAGCAATTCTTTGCCTGAGACTATTTCACTTAGTATGCATGTGTGTGCTTAGTCTCTCAGTCATGTCCAACTGTTTGTGACTATAGACTGTAGCCTGGCAGGCTCCTCTGTTTGTGGAATTTTCCAGGCAAGAACACTGGAGTGGGTTGCCATTTCCACCTCCAGGGATCTTCCTGACCCAAGGACTGAATATGCACATCCTGCATTGCGGGCAGATTCTTTACTGCTAAGCCACCAGGGAAGCCCCCCTATTTCACTGTAATTATAAACAATCAAGCTCTGAAAATTTTTTAAAAAGTCAGTTGAACTAACCTGAATATACAGAAATATACATAGATACATAATTTTAATACTTTATTCTCTAAATAGAGGTTAATACTAGTACCAGGTAAAGGACTACGGACTCTCTAAAATAGACCACTAAAATTGTAATATGCTAAAACAAATGAACGCAAGGTTTCTGCTAGCAAGAGTTAAAAGAGATAGATGTGGCTCAGTGGTAAAGAATCCGTTTGCCAATGCAAGAGATGCTAGTTTAATCCCTGGGTCAGGAAGGTCCTCTGGAGTAGGAAATGGCAACCCACTCCAGTATTCTTGCCTGGAAAATGTCATGGACAGAGGAGCTACAATCCATGGGGCTGCAGAGTCGGACACAACTGAGCAATTGAGCATGCATGCAATATGACATTTATGCTATATTTTACAAAATAATAAAAGAAGTTTGAATTCAGGTGACACAGTGTTTACAGAATAATATATAACATGTAATATTGTATTATGCATGCATGCTAAGTTGCTTCAGCCGTGCCTGACTCTTTGAGACTCTATGGACCCCACCAAGTTCCTCTCCAGACAAGAATATTGGAGAGGGTTGCCATGCCCTGTCCTTCTCCAGGGGATCATCCAGACCCAGGGATTGAACCTGGATCTCCTGCATTGCAGGCAGAAAAAAATACTAATTTTCTCTATATTTCCAAATTTTTATTGACTATTTTAAAAAATAATTTTCCTGACTTAAAATCATGCTCTAATCATGCATCTAAATAATGGGTGAAATCAAAGTATACTGTTGTTGTGATGATTTAAGTAACACCACGTTATTTATTCAATTAGTCAATCACTACAACCAATCTGAATTTCATACCATGCCTTGTAAATCACTAGTTCATAAGTTTCAACAGTAACAACATATAGTCAATATGAAACTGAATTAAAATAGCATCCTTAGGACTGCATTCATTTAAAAATGAACTATGAATATATTCTATTCTTTTGCCTTGGGAGTATAGAATTCTTTGGATGCAATGAAATAATTATTAAATTTATTCATTTTGTATGACATAGATTAGGAGCAAAACTACTTAAACATTTAAAAAAATTAAGGTTAGGTAGAACAAATAGAATAACTACTGACTTTAGATTATAGCCAAATACATTTAAAGTACATTA